TTAATAAGATTTATACAAGCTAAAGAAGTGGAGTTTAAGTACACATTTAACTAATGAAACCTTATTGTAAACACACATTAATATAATACATATAATACACATTTACAACATCAATAAAACTAAACATGAATTCCTCATACCTTCTCGATTCTCACTCTTTTGTTTGGTAAAGTAAATAATATTTAGTAATATTATCATAATTTCCCTATTTTCGTTTGATGTGTTATGCATTCTAAATCTGTCAACGTCTTTTCATATGCCGAACGGATCAAACACACATAAAACAAGGAACTCTTCTTTTTTTAAGTGCTCTTTTTGCCCTGTGTGTGTGTGTGTGTGTGTGTGTGTGTGTGTGTGTGTGTGTGTGTGTGTGTGTGTGTGTGTGTGTGTGTGTGTGTGTGTGTGTGTGTGTGTGTGTGTGTGTGTAACTGTAGGAGTGTGAACTCAAATAAATAACATGTTAAACATGAAAGTATTATGCATTTTCTCCTTATATGGAACATATTCGCCATGGGATCTGTAAAACTGAGCCGAGAGCCCTAGAGTTCTGTGTAGAACTGAAGCTTCATTCTAAGAGTGTGTATCCAATCAGAATCATCGGTTCTGGTTTGGGGAGAAACGATTTGAAAAAAGAAAATGAATAATGATTAATATAAAGTTTCCTGAGGTGCTGAGTCAGAGTTTGTGTGTATCAACACACACCTCCTCCTGAGTCCTGGCTCTGCTTCAGGTTCAGTGGCTCACACTCCTGTGGTCACACACACACACACACACACACACACACACACACACACACACACACTCTGCGTAAACAAGACACTAAATCCTTGTGTTGGAAACTTTCACTGAGAGACGAGAGAACAACCTCAGAACAACAGCAGCGCAATGCCTGAGTGTGTGTGTGTGTGTGTGAGAGAGAGAGAGAGAGAGAGAGAGAGAGAGAGAGAGAGAGAGAGTGTGTGTGTGTGTTTGTCTCTCTCTCTCTCATGGACTCTTTACAGCATGTTGTTCTCTGCTGTTCTAAAGCTGCATTTCCACATTTACTCTCCAGTGAAACCGCTGCATTTTTCAGCACATGTGCATTAGATTCATTTTGACTCATACATGATTATACATTTCGAGAGCCACAGTCCACACACACACACACTCTCTCTCACACACACACACTCTCTCTCACACACAGGGGCGTCACTAGGATTTTCATTTTAGGGGGGCTAAGCCCCCAATATGATTTTTTTTTTTTTTTTATAAAAAAATGTAACACTTTAGTTTAGGATCTAAAGATCACTATTAACCATTTTCATTACGATGCAAAGGCACGGTTTTATAATAACTGTGGTCCCAAATGTGAGGTAGGGCAAATACGGGGGTTCGGGGTCTCCCCGAGAAAATTTTGATTTCTCTGATCTACATATGTGCATTTTAAGATGTTCTGAAGGCCAAAAAACTTGGATAGTGGGCAGCTGATTATTTTTCTCACCTCATCAGCATTACACTCTTTTTCTCTTTGTTTTTATCTTGCCCTGTCTCTTCCCCTCCTAAAGCTGAGCTTTGACTGATATAGGCTTTTCATTTTTGTCTGTCAGTGAAGAAAGTAAACATAGGGTCAACTGATAGGTTGATTTTGCCTGAATCATTTTCTCAGACGCGTTTATTTACTGAAAGCTACTAAAGGTAATTAAGTTTATTAAATGCATTCAAAATATGTAGGCTACACATTTATTATTGATCTTATGCCTAATACAGGGCCGTAGACAGGGCTTTATAATCACAGAGGTCCTAAATTTGAGGTTGGTAGGGGGTTCAAATTTTTTATTTCTCTGATATGTGCATTTCAAGACGTTTGAAGACCAAAAAAGGATAAGAAATAGCTTTAAAACCATGTCAGTGGGCAGATTATTTGCCAATACCTGCTCTCTTCTCATCTCCATCACTCTTTCTTTCTCAGTCTCTTCGTCCCTTTCTCTTCCCCTCCTAAAGCTGAGCTTTTTTAATTTACTAAAGGCTACAATTTGTATTATATCCTCAATATGTACACATTCATTATTAATCTTGTGCCTAACATGATGAAAACGGCTTTGTTAATGTTTCTTGTAAACTAATTATTACATTACATGAGTCACGTTACAGCCTATTTTCAGTTCAAAATGGCGAAATTAGACAAAACTATATTAGTTTGCCTGATTATTTTTTGTCATTCGTTTAACATTTATGACCTAAAAAAAGTAAAATATGAAATGTTAAGTTTAGCTACTTACATCTTATCTCGCACTTGACCGTACGCGTCGAGTCGCACTTAAAATTCGCGCTCAGCGTCTGTGAACATAAAGCCCGCCTACTTTGATTTGATTGGTCATCTCAAATATTCTGACAATGACGAGCAGTGACAGACCAATGAGGCTCAGATGAACACACATGAACACACACACATGAACACACACACACACACACCCTGTCCTCTGTTTCTGACGTGCTCTCTGCTCGGCGCCGCTGCGGATTGAAGATGAAGAACACGCTGAATCTGATTATAACAAGACTGAAGCGAACACGAATTTGTGTAGCCTACATTAATCTCACATTTTTAGGGGGGCTAGGCAGAAGCCCCCCTAAAAAGGGCCTAGTGACGCCCCTGCTCACACACACTGTCTCACACACACACACTGAAACATCGCAGAAGCAGCTAATACCGGCATGCAGTTAGAATTTTCAAATACTAATCTCTTTTTGGATATGATGGACAGATGCTCTTTTATGGACTTCCAAAAACAAAAACCCATTCACTGCCATTATAAAGCTAAGAAGCGTCAGGACATTTATTAATATAACTCTGATTGTATTCGTCTGAAAGGAGAAAGTCATATACACTAGGATGGGTTCAGGGAGAGTAAATTCTCATATTTGGGTGAACTCTCCCTTTAAGCTAGTTGCCAAAGCAACATTATTTTGATTAAGCAAAATTCAACTTAATGAACTAAAATAACTAAAGCCAAAACTGAAATAAAAATGAATAAAAACCTTTTTAGTTTTTTCAGTTAAAAAACGAAAACTTTAACTAAAATGACCATGAAAACATAACATAAAAATACAAATAAAACCTTAAAGCACGAGTATGAGCAGTGTGTGACGCACAGGCTCGGTGTGTGTGTCGCGAGGCCGCAGATGTTCCTTCGGTCGAGCAGAAACTAGTTTACGTCTATATTTGGGATTTGGCGTCTGATACACAAACCGTTCCGCCCGTGACGTCACACACCGGCTGAGCCGCAGACCTGACGCGAGCGTGACCTCTGACCCCTGCGGCCACTTCCTGTTATGTGCCCGAGCGCACACACACACACACCCACCCAGACAGACGGGTTGTTTACGCAGTCTCACCTCCACATGTGCTCAGCGTCTGCGGCTCCGGGTTTGTGGGTTCGGTTTGTTTTTCTCCTTCAGGCCCAAAAACATCCAAATCCAGAAGCAGATCCAACGCCCGCGCGGAAAGAGGAGCGACACCCTAACCGCTGGAAAACACGACTGTCTGTGTGTGTGTGTGTGTGTGTGTGTGTGTGTGTCGGTCTGATGAACCTTCTCAACAAACATTCAGCAAACAATCATGTTTTCATAATTGAATAGGAACATTATAATATGTGTGTATTTGCAGCGGCTGCGCTTCATTAACTGGCGCTGACGCACGTCTGTAACTGAACACAGTTTTACTGGGAGCTTTCGGACATGTTTTGTTAAAGCTTTCCATAGAGTCGTTACACTGATGACACACAGTATCAATCCCATAATGCTCTGCTGCCGCCTGGTGTCCGGCGCTCAAACTCATGCTTTTACTCCATACACCCAGTGACGCTCACAATAACATATTTAATAAATATTCAAGACGCAAGTCAAGTTTATGAACATTGAAGTATGAAACAAATCCGGAACACTTTGCAATAAAGTCTCATGCGTTAGTGAACATGAACTTACAATAAGCAAAGTATTCTGGTTACACTTTATTTAAGGTGGCTTTGTCACGGTGTAATTGTACATTGAAATACTGAGTAATATAAATTAATTATAGGGTTAACTTAATATACAGTGTGTAACAAGGACACTAAAATAAAGTGCTATCAGTATTTTTTTTTACAGCATTTATTAATTTTATTATTTGTTAATGTTAGTTAATAAAAATACAGTTGTTCATGTTAGTGCATTAACTATTGTTAACAGAAACAACTTTTGATTTTAGTATGTATTAGTAAATGTTGAAATGAACATTAAATGCTGTTAGTTCATGCTAACTAATGTTAATAATTGAAACTTTATTGTGAAGTATTACAGTTTTATCACATTTATGTTTACATTAAAAGAGCATCATGTAAGGTAATAAATTATGTTAATAAAAGAGCACACCAACGCTTTAATTACAGTTTTATTATTATTTATCTGGATAGAATCACACATGAATATGATGATGATGATAAAGAATCACCAGAGCATCTTTATCACATTTAGTCCCAGAGAATCCAGCTCGTTTGAGAGGTTTCTCAGATCTGTTTTAAAGCGGACAGGGGCGGAGTCTGTGGCAGGGGTGGGGTCTGTGTGCAGTGGGCGGGGCTGCGACAGGGGTGGAGTCTGTGGGCAGTGGGCGGGGCTGCGACAGGGGCGGAGTCTGTGGGTGGGGCTGTGGCAGGGGTGGGGTCTGTGTGCAGTGGGCGGGGCTGCGACAGGGGCGGAGTCTGTGGGCAGTGGGTGGGGCTGTGGCAGGGGTGGGGTCTGTGTGCAGTGGGCGGGGCTGCGACAGGGGTGGAGTCTGTGGGCAGTGGGTGGGGCTGTGGCAGGGGTGGGGTCTGTGGGCAGTGGGTGGGGCTGTGGCAGGGGTGGGGTCTGTGTGTAGTGGGCGGGGCTGCAACAGGGGTGGAGTCTGTGTGCAGTGGGCGGGGCTGCGACAGGGGCGGAGTCTGTGGGTGGGGCTGTGGCAGGGTCTGTGTGCGGTGGGCGGGGCTGCGACAGGGGCGGAGTCTGTGGGCAGTGGGCAGGGCTGTGGCAGGGGTGGGGTCTGTGTGCAGTGGGCGGGGCTACGACAGGGGCGGAGTCTGTGTGCAGTGGGCGGGGCTGAGCTCAGTGTGTGTTTGTGAGGCACTGGTTCAGGCTTCGCCGGAGCGTTTGGCGGGTTTGGCGACGAGGCGTCTCTCTCGCTCCAGCTCTCTCTCTCTCTGCTGCTCGCGCTCCAGATCTTCCTTCTGCTTGTGTTGCTGCAGCTTCAGCGCTCGCTTCTGCACACATTCATACACTCTTCACTCTTAATCTGCCGGTCCGTCTCAAACGGCAAAGCTTACTAACCCAGGGTAAAGTATGGAAGCTTGTTTCTGCCACGGAATAAAAATAAAAATGACTTTTTTTCAATAAAAATGGAATCCTGACTTTTTTCAATCGTAAACAAGTTTATATCTCGCAATTCTGACTTTTTTTTATCACAATTCAGACTCTTTTCTCATAAAGGCAAGTTTATATCTCAGAATTCAGACTTTTTTTCTCACGATTCACTCTTTTTTCGTAAACGCAAGTTTATATCTCGCAATTATGACTTTTTTCTCGTAAACGCAAGTTTATATCTTGTCATTCTGACTTTTTTCTCGTAAACGCAAGTTTAAAGTTTATATCTCGCAATTCTGACTTTTTTCTCGTGAACGCAAGTTTATATCAGAAACGCAAGTTTATATTTCACAATTCAGACTTTCTCGCAATTCTGACTTTTTTCTCGCAATTCTGACTTTTTTCTCGTAAACGTAAGTTTATGTCGCTATTTTGACTTTTTTCTCGTAAATGCAAGTTTATATCTAGCCATTCTAACTTTTTTCTCGCAATTCGGACTTTTTTCTTGTAAATGGAAGTTTATATCTCCCAATTCAGACTTTTTTCTCGCAATTCAGACTTTTTTCTCGTAAACGCAAGTTTATATCTTGCCATTCTGACTTTTTTCTTGTGAACACAAGTTTATATCAGAAACGCAAGTTTATATTTCACAATGCCATTGTGGCAATTACCTTTTTTTATTCGCTGGCCGAAACAAGCTTCCATAAGAACATGAAGAGCAGTACAGCATGGATCTACAGAAGAGTCCCGCTCAAACCTTTAGTCTGGTCGTCTTGTCGTGCAGAACGATCATTTCTTTGCGAATGTTCACCAGTTTGCTGTGATAAACTTTGGCCTCTGTGAACTGAAACACATCAGCTGTCAGTCTGACGACGTCTCTACGAGAGAAACCACGCGATTAAAACTCACCAGTGCGTTCAGATCAATCATGGCGTTGCACTCGCGGAATTTCGTGACTTCTTGCTCCAGCGTATCCAGCAAAATAACTTGATTTTGTCTGGAAGTAAGAAAAAATAAAGGATAATTACAGTACAGCAGTGCAGTATTTTGAATTCAAATGTCTTTTTTTGCAGTCTTGATCTCATTGACTGAATGAGCCAGATCTTCAGTGTTCACACACGCTGTGGCTTCAGTAGTCGTGTGTATGCAGTGTGATCGTACGTGAGTTCCTGCAGGGTTTGCTTGGAGGCGTTGAGCTCTGGCTGATAGTGAGACAGGAATCCTTCAGTCAGTCTCTGGATCGTGTGCTCATCCACACACACCACGTCCTCCATCACAACACACACTGCAAACACACACATCAAGATCACCATAAAACTAGGTTTTTATTAGTAGACTAGCATTTATAGAAAAAGCTATGGGAAAATAGCCCCACTGCCTTGTGGATAGTCTGTTGAGATAAGGCTAAGGGAGCATACCCTGACAGAAAAGCAATGCGCTGGAGGTGCGCAATAGGCGGGCCTTAACAGACGAAGGACCCGGCAGCCTCCTGCAGCCAAGATGGGAGACCGGTTGTCCTGGGACTACCCTTCCCATCGGGACTTACCTCATCATGGTGAAGATAGTGCTACTGGGGATGGCGCACCTCCTTTGGCACTTTAAAACCTTCCTTGCGCAGGTCTCCACCTCTGACCACGGTGACAATACCTGGACCTTACATATGGTTAAAAGTCTGACGGCGATGGGGAATCTGACGACGGGGGCAGGTTTGAATAGACTGGGAGCTCTTAGTCAGAGCCCTGCACGGCAGCGGCACAGGGTATTTGGTCGCTATCAACTGGGATTGAATGGCAGGTGTTTCGGCAGACCCCTGTGCGACGGAGCAGCCCTATTTAGGGGCCGCACTGCTCTACCCCATTGGGGAAGGGCCTAGAAAAGGTGGCCTAAAAATTGCCCATTCAACCATTTACCTGGATAGATTACCGCATCTATCGGGTTATTCCACTACTGCGGTCGAAATAAGAAAAATAAGAAACAATACAATATAAAATTGGCTACATGGAATGTAAGGACTCTCCTGGACTCGCATGGCATCTCTGACAGACCACACAGGAGAACAGCCCTGATCGCTGCTGAGCTGAGCCGCTATAACATCGACATTGCTGCCCCGAGTGAGACTAGGCTTCTGGATGAAGGATCTCTAACAGAGGAAGGAACGGGCTATACCTTCTTCTGGAAAGGTTTCCCCCCAGGTGGAAAACATCTTTATGGAGTAGGACTGGCCATCAAAAACACGCTTCTACCAAGTCTCACAGAAACACCTATTGGCATTAGTGAAAGGCTAATGACCCTCCGTATCCCCCTGGCAAAAAAGCGTTATGCCACACTTCTCAGTGCCTATGCACCAACTTTGCCCTCTGAAAATGAAGCCAAGGAATGCTTTTATCAAGCACTGGATGAAACTCTTCGCCAGATCCCTAAGAGTGATAAGATCCTCTTGCTTGGGGATTTTAACGCTTGGGTGGGACAGAACTACAGGATATGGAGTGGAGTACTAGGTAGACATGGCATTGGCAGGGAGAATGCAAATGGTATGAGGTTACTTACTCTTTGCTCTGAGCATAACCTTACCATAACTAACACCATCTTCCAGCAGAAGGCAAAATATAAGACCTCGTGGATGCACCCTCGCTCTAAACATTCGCACATGATTGACTTCATCATGGTGAGGAGAAATGACATCAAGGATGTTTTCATCACTCGTGCCATGAGAGGTGCAGAGTGCTGGACTGACCATCGTATGATTGTGGCCAAGCTCAATATGGAAGTGCGTACCCCTTAGCGACCGCAAAAGTCAAAAAATAAGAGGCTAAATTGTAGCCGCTTTGGAAACATCGAAGCAAGAAGTGAGTTTCGACGTCTCCTAGCTGAGAAGCTTATGGAGTCTGAAACTTGTCTGAGCTCAGAAAACACAATGGAACAACAGTGGAACTATATTAGCTCTGTGCTCTATGAGGCAGCAGCCAAATCCATCGGCTATAAGAGCAAGAACCACCAAGACTGGTTTGACGATAATTCAGACATCATCCACAACCTGCTTAAGGATATGCGGAAAGCACACCGGGAAACATTAGACAACCCTTCATCCATTAAGGCTAGACAGGATTGGCAGGCAGCTCGGGGGAAAGTGCAAAAGGATATACGGGCCATACAGAATGAATGGTGGACTGAAAAGGCACATGAAATCCAATCCTTTGCAGATAAATATGACATGCATAATTTTTATAATGCTATCAAATCCATCTACGGTCCAACAAATCGCTGTGTCACTTCCCTGAAAACAGCTGATGGTCAAACACTTCTGAAGAACCAGAATAGTATCCTACTGAGGTGGGCTGACCATTTTGACACCCTGCTTAATCAGGACTCTGATGCAGACCCCACCATCCTGGACGAACTGCCTGAACTTCCTCCCATCCACGATCTCAGTCTACCACCAACCTTCCAGGAGGTTCTATCATCTGTCCGTTCCCTTAAGAACAACAAGTCCCCTGGCGCTGATAACATCCCTGCTGAGCTACTGAAGGAGGGAGGGTACATATGTATGCGCACCCTCTACCAGTACATCACCAAGGCCTGGACTGATGAGATCATCCCACAGCAATGGAGAGATGCAAACATTGTAGTCATCTACAAGAACAAGGGTGACAAGGCCATATGCGGCAATAGCAGGGGCATATCACTCCTTCAGTTGGTGGTAAGGTCATGGCCAAAGTGCTGCATCAGAGGCTTATTAACAACATCATTGAGTCAATGCTGGAAGAATCACAGTGTGGGTTTAGAAAGAACAGGAGCACGATCGACATGATCTTCACAGCCCGGCAGCTTCAGGAAAAGTGCCGGCAGCAACATCAGGACGTTTATGGCCTTTGTCGATCTCTCGAAAGCATTCGACACTGTGCAAAGAGAGCTCTTATGGGATGTCCTCCTCAGGTTTGGATGTCCAGATAAGTTTGTTAACATCCTTCGCCAATTCCATGATGGGATGACAGCTCGGGTGACCGTAGGCGGACAAGAGTCTGAGCCATTCCCTGTACGCACAGGGGTGAGGCAGGGGTGTGTGTTAGCGCCAGTGCTCTTTAACATCTTCCTCCTGTGTGTCACCAAGCTTCTCCACAATGAGATTGAAAACAGCAGAGGTGTGGCAGTGGACTTCAGATTAGATGGCAACCTCTTTAACATTAGGAGGCTACATGCAACAACAAAAATCAGCAGAGAGCAGGTCCTGGAGCTACAGTATGCAGACGATTGTGCTTTTGTGGCCCATACTCCGGAGGATCTTCAAACTGTCCTTGCTGTGGCGGTGAGGGCGTACAGCAGGATGGGGCTGACTGTGAACACCACCAAGACAGAAGTGGTCTGCCAATGGAGGGCCAATGTCCCACCCACATCTCCTGCCTTCACTGTTGGAGATGAACAGTTGTCAGTAGTGCCATCTTTCAAATATCTGGGGAGTTTTCTCTCTGAGGATAGCAGCATCGACAATGAAATCCAGAGCCGAATTAAACAGGCATCAGCTGCCTTTGGGAGACTTCGATGCAGAGTCTTTCATAATAAGAACCTTCATCCCTCCACAAAGGTCGGCGTATAGCAAGCGGTCTGTGTCACCACCCTCCTCTATAGCTGTGAAGCATGGGTAACCTACTGCCGTCACATCAAGTCCTTAGAGCAATCCCACATAAGCTGCCTTCAGCGCATTCTGGGAATTACCTGACGTAATCAGGTACCTCACACTGAAATACTTAAAAAGGCGAACTGCAGAAGTATTGAGGCCATTATTACCCAGCGCCAACTGCAGTGGTTGGGGCATGTGATAAGGATGCCCCCATGTCGTCTGCCCCGCAGGGTACTATATGGCCAGTTACATCATGGTCAACGCTCAGCTGGGGGTCCGAAGAAGCGCTATAAAGATCAGATGAAGAACGCCTTGAGAAAGTGTAAGATCAGACCTGAGGATTTGAAGGATATTGCTGCTGACCGCACCATCTGGCGACAGCTATGTGGAGAGGGGGTTTGTACACTAGAGATGGAGAGGACAACCAGAAAACAGCAGAAGCGAGCCAGGAGAAAGGCAGCCATATCTGCCAATGTGACCACCACCACCATCACATACATATGCCCCACCTGCAATAGAGCTTGTGGGTCCAGGACAGGACTGTTTAGTCATCAAAGATCTCACCGTTAAAGGCGTGGACGTCATCATCGGATCTCGATGGACAACCGAAGAAGAAGTGTGTGTGTCTGTGTGTGTTCACCTGTGTCCTGCTCGCTTTCCTCCTGCGGTCTGTCCATCATCATCACAGTCACCAGCAGCCTCTGTAACACACACACACACACACACACACACACACACACACACACACACACACACACACACACATACATACACACATACATATACATACATATACACACACACACACACACACACACACACACACACACACACAATCAGATTCCTCATGGTAGACCACAGTAATCATGTGTACGTCACTGATCAAATCTGTCTGAACACGAACCCTCCTGAGCGCATCATTCCTGCTGTATTCCCGTCAGATGAATATGATTCTTCTTTTATCTTGTGTATTTAATGGCAGTCAGCAAACCTGATGTGATAGTGAAAACGCTTCCAGGAGCGGCTCACAAACATCATGTGACAGAAGCTCATGTGACCGCGGAGACTGCGACAACGCGACGCGCTGCCACTCTGAGAGCACTTCCGCCTTTAATCACGTGCCGCTGAGCGACGCCTCCGATTGGCGGAACGATTGTACTGGAGTGTTTCAAAGCAGCTTCACAGCGATAAACAGGCAATTTATGCATTTGTTAATTCCGATCTCTCATAAATATCATCAATTATTAAATGAGTTAATTTAATCTACAGTCAGCTCAGTTCAGTTCTCAAATAGCAGCAGAGTATATAATATAATACTATCAGAAATAGCTTTATTGCTAAGTGACCTTGAACACAAGGAATTTTTCTTGATACAAATACAACAGTGAAATGTGCTACAGAGGTATAATATTTTATAATTACATGTTAATTTTGCACAAGAATGTGAACTGAATGCACGCGCGCTGCAGTAGAGCTGGAACGCGCGCAGAGTGGACGCGCTAACATTAAACACACTCTCTCTCTCATACACACACTGACTCACACACACACACACACACACACACACACCGAGACTCTGAGATTTTCCCGAACTCACACCACGATGGACGGAACCAGCGAACGGCAGAGTTTAGGAAGGTTTGTGCTCTTTTAATGATGTTATCGTTGTTTTCAGTGTCGCTGACATCCAGTCCTGAAACACATGAACGCGCCGAAACACACGAAACAAACTCTGTGCTTTAGCGGTTCATATCTGGCGAACTGTGCATCATTGTCTCTGAAGTGAATGCTACATTTTTCTAAATGTCATCATAATAATTTGTTAACAAACAAGTATTCTTTACTTCAACGAGCTCATTGTTCCCGCCTTAAATTATTACATACCTTTATACCTTTTTTTGCTAACTGCGATTCTAAAATACATAACTTAAACAGTTTCCTCTGATAACAGATCACTCATTGTGACGTGGACTCGTACATTTTCTGTAAAGCTGCTTTGAAATGATGAGTATTGTGAAAAGCGCTATACAAATAAATGTGTATTTAATCAATGAACTGAATGGAGCTCAATAGTGATTTTCGAGTTGCTTTATTTGACCGTGTCTGATATTTGATGATGGCTCCTGTTGCACTGTAACAGTGTGTGTTGGTAAAGCTGAGCTGTTGTGTTGCAGGTAACCTGCCGCGATTATTGTGAAAAGCGCTATACAAATAATTGAATTGAATCAACATCACTGAACTGAATGGAGCTCAGTAGTGTTTCAGAGTGGCTTTATTTGACCGTGTGTGTCTTTGATGACGCTTTCTGTTGTGTGTTGGTAACGCTGACCTGAGCTGTTGTGTTGCAGGTAACCTGGCGCTTCGACCCCCGAGACCGTGTCAGTTCCTCACACACTGACGCTTCAGAGATCCGCTCAGATGTCGGGCCTGATGGGCCGCGTGAGGTCGGTGTTCCGCCGCGAGCCGGAGGACTGGCACCTCAGCGACGCCGCCTTCGACTTCTCCGAGGACCTGGAGGACGACGAGACGCCCCGGTTCAGCCAGCTGAAGGTGGTGGTGTCGGGAGAGGCGGACGAGTTCCCGACGGCTAACGGGTCGACGGTCACGCATGTGTTGGACGATGACGACTCGCTCCTGGGCTCCTCGTCGGGTCTGGTGCCGGAGGCGTGTGACGGGTGCCGGAGGAGTCGAGAGAGCGACCGGCGCCGGAGGATCATGAGGAAACTGGGCTTCGCCGCTCTGCTCTACTTCCTGTTCATGGTGGGCGAGCTGATAGGTGAGCGTCGGGGAGAGTGTGTGTGTGTGTGTGTGTGTGTCGCCCGCTCCTGTCACTGGGTTTGTCTTTCAGGTGGGTACGTGGCCAACAGTCTGGCCATCATGACGGATGCGCTGCACATGCTGACGGATCTGATCGGGATCATCGTGTCTCTGCTGGCGCTCTGGCTCTCCGCTAAACCACCGACGCACAGGTTCACCTTCGGCCTCCATCGGCTCGGTGCGAACTCTTCTCAGTACACCGGCTCATTCAGGCTTTACACACTTCAGCTAGTTAAACCTGGGTCATTCTAACCCCTGGGTCATTCTAACCCCTGGGTCATTCTAACCCCTGGGTCATTCTATTCTAACCCCTGGGTCATTCTATTCTAACCCATGGGTCATTCTAACCCCTGGGTCACTCTAAACCCTGGGTCATTCTATTCTAAACCCAGGGTCAGTCTAACCCCTGGGTCACTCTAAACCCTGGGTCATTCTAACCCCTGGGTCACTCTAAACCCTGGGTCATTCTAAACCCTGGGTCATTCTAACCCCTGGGTCACTCTAAACCCTGGGTCATTCTATTCTAAACCCAGGGTCAGTCTAACCCCTGGGTCACTCTAAACCCCTGGGTCACTCTAAACCCTGGGTCATTCTATTCTAACCCATGGGTCATTCTAACCCCTGGGTCACTCTAAACCCTGGGTCATTCTATTCTAAACCCAGGGTCAGTCTAACCCCTGGGTCACTCTAAACCCAGGGTCAGTCTAACCCCTGGGTCAGTCTAAACCCTGGGTCAATCTATTCTAAACCCAGGGTCAGTCTAACCCCTGGGTCATTCTAACCCCTGGGTCAATCTATTCTAAAAACCCAGGGTCAGTCTAACCCCTGGGTCATTCTAAACCCTAGGTCAGTCTAACCCCTGGCTCATTTTAAAACCTGGGTCATTCTAACCTCTGGGTCACTCTAAACCCTGGGTCACTCTAAACCCTGGGTCAGTCTAACCCCTGGGTCAGTCTAACCCCTGGGTCACTCTAAACCCTGGGGTCACTCTAAACCCTCGGTCAGTTTAAACCCTGGGTCAATACTGTTTATGATTCACGGGGCTATAACCTGTCACTCACATGAGATCAGCCAATAGTAAACCACAACCATCCAATCAATTCCCCACAGACAAATCAAGCCCCGCCCACATGTGTTCTTTGGTCCTGAAGCGTTTCACTCGATATACGACACAATAGAGGAGAAAAGACGAGTGTAACTTCCCTTTTATGCTAAAATTAAGCGCAGTGTGAAAACCCCTATTGTGTGTCCATCTTGCTGGTGTGAAGTGCGTCTCACGGTGTGTGTGTGTGTGTGTGTTCAGAGGTGTTGTCTGCAGGTATTAGTGTGTTGCTGATCTATATTCTGACGGGTGTGCTGTTGAACGAAGCCGCTCAGAGAACGATTCATCAGGACTTCACCATCGACGGAGACGTGATGCTGATCACTGCAGCGGTGGGAGTCGCCGTCAACCTGCTGTGAGTCACACACACAAACACACACACACACACACACACACACACACACACACACACACACACACACTGCTGTGTTTTTGTGATATATGAGGACATTCCATAGGCGTAATGACTTTTATACTGGACAAACTGTATATTCTATCCCCCTTAGGGGTGTAACGATACACAAACCTGACGGTTCGGTTCGTCCCACGGTTTTGAGGTCTCGGTTCGGTTCGGTTCGGTTCATTTCGGTGGGGTGGGGGGGGGTTTAGAAAGCTAAAATTGCTTTTATTTTTTATTAAACAGTGCTTTAATGAACAAATTGTGTCCTTGTCTTTAAATCAATTAAATTACAAGTAAACGTTTCTCAAGGATAACAAAATTATCTGCTAATGCTGTAAACTACAGCCCTTACTTGCACATTACTATAACATTAAAGCTTAACAAGCCTAGACTTTTAGCCTAAATGATATAATAATAATCAACACTCAAATAACAAATTGTATGAAAACATGTAAACTGCACATAAGGCAATTTTTGCATTAACATGTTTTTACTCTAATTTGTTATTGTTGTATAATAATTTACACAGTTGCTGTTATTTTCATGACAACTATTTTAAACATACATTAAATAATCAAGATATCATAAACAGGTTAAGTAAAATATAATATATATATGCTAATATATAGCATTTATTTAGTGAAAGAGTTAGCAAACCAGCAAGCTGTGGACACTGAATGACTTGCCTGAGGTAAATATAAAGCTATGTGAAAAACT